CCATGTTTTCTTCCTCCGGGCGAAGTGTCGGCTCTCGTCAGCCGGGTTGACTGTAGCTCGCTTACAGAGGCACAGAAACCAGAGGAGGGGGGGGGGGGGGCGGCGGCGATCTAGCTTCAAAAGACCCAAAAGAGGACACGATGAACCTCGCCCCACATCTCCGATCTTGTCGTCGGGTACAAAGCGGCCCCTGGTTTCCGTGTTGTTGTTGTTGTTGTGCAGACGATCTCTATTGATCGCCGATCGGTCGGCGGCGGAGTGTGGCTTAGCGGTTGCCTCTCCGCGGCTCTCAACATGGCCGCCGTCGCAGGCAGCCATCGCTCCTTTGACGGTTCCCATTCTTCTAACAAAACACTCTGAACATACTTCACAACAACTGCGTTTCAGGCGGCGTTCTGGCGAGGTGGGGGCCCTTTGGCAGCCGCTTGAAGCCGCTTTATTGGGCCGTAGAGCTTCCCTGTGAGACGGAGGCCCGTGACCTTTCACCCTCTCAACGCTTTGCTTCCGTTTGGTATTTGGGTTTAGTCAGTTTGAATCCCGGGGGGGGAGTTTCTGCTTTGCTCGAGTCACGAGGCGGCTGCTTCCTCTGATCCGAACCAGCGCTCTGATCATTGTTATTATTATTTTGACTTCTTTTGTCTTGTGTTCATGTACTATGGAGCCCTCGTCCTCACGGGGGCCCCATGAGACGTTGTGTAACGATTAAATGTCATATTGAAGGATTCACGCAAACTCATCCTCCTTTTTAAACCTTTTCCTTTTCACAAAGGGCGTTGTCTAATAAACTGAAGCGGGTCTTCTTGTTCTCTCGCAGCGTTAAACTGACAATATGTGCCAGTGTTGTGCGCGCTCACGGTGTTTTTGTCAGATACGTATCGTCAGTATCGCAACATCAACAACAGAACAAAGTGCCCACACACACACACACACACACACCGACACGCAGTCACAAATAGCTGCTGTGGAGCGAGTTGGGCCACGACTCTGGTCTCGATGAGCAATGGCTGCGCACACACACACACACACACACACACACACATTTTGAGGAAGCACTTGTTCCTCGCTTTCAGGTTTAAAAAGCCCCTTTTCTGAACGCGTTACCTGTAACCTACTTGTGCCAACGTGCACTCACCCACTCTGTGACCGCTACTCCCACACGCACGCACGCGCACACACACACACACACACACACACACACACACACACACACACACACACACACACGTAATGATGTGCTTATTCATCAATGCAAACATGCATGCGTGGGAGATGATCGCATCACGGGGAGACGTGGTAGAGGGGGAGCTGTGTGTGTCTGTGTGTGTGTGTGTGTGTGTGGGCGCCGGCCAAATGTCAGTGTTGTTATTCATTCGAGGAGGTGGTGATGCTGTTCGATCAGTCCTCGTCATTTCCCGCCGCGATCAATGCCGGCATTGAGGATGAAGAGTGAGTCTTCCTCCCTGGGTCTTCTCCTTCTCTTTTACTTTGAAACCATGAACCATGATTCTGAGCTGTCGCTGTCGGGATGTGACGCTCCGATCAATAACCGCCCTTTATGGGACATTGGTAGTAATATATTGATATTACTGTGATACCTGTGATACCGACTGTGGATCCATACGCACGCCGATGATGGTTCAGGGTCCGTCACAAAGCACCAGCGAACGATTAGCTTCCCGCGTGTGTGTGTAAAGACGCCGTTTAGCGCCCTGGGACACCTTTCGTCCTGAGACGCGTGGCGAGGAGGAGGATGATGATGACGACGATGAAGTCAGGCTTGATTTGCTCTACCTCGAATGTTAAGTGGTATTTGAGTGGGATGTTTGACATCAGTTTATTAATACGTCTACCCACAATGCAACTGGACTGGCCGACGGCGTGTCCTGCTGTTTGCATGTGATGTCGACACGGGCCTGCTTGCATC